CCTGCTTACAGAAACTGCCTCTCTGCTTAACCCTTATTACATTGTAACAGCTAAGGCACTTCGCTCATAGACGTGAGTGATGTTGAATTGGCCATGGCCACACGGTCACATGACCACTAAGCCACGCCTACCCAGCTGGTCATTAGGGCAGAGAACCAGTTGTTAAATTATTTGAATCCCACCACTGAGCAGATCCATCGCTATATAGCCACATTCTTGAGGTTTCCTAGTCCTAATGTGGATTCTGCCACATCCTATAGCTCTTCAATCAGTTTGTCTTAAGGGCAGATATCCCCTAAGGCAGAGTGTCTATGGAGATTTTCAGTCATCGAGGTCATGGTTGTCCCAAAGGTGCTTTTTTCAAGAGGCAGCTGGACTTTCTGGTTTTTCTCTGAAGACCTTTCACTTCTCATCCAAGAAGCCTCTTCAGCTCTGACTGGATGGTCAGTTGTGTCTTGAAAAAAGCACCTTTCAGAGTCTAAGGCAGAGGCTTCCAACCTTTTGGGTACTAGGGACCAGTTATGTGGAGAGAGGAGTTTCCATGGTCAGAGAGGGCGTGCTGCCTGTAGCTCACAGATGGAGCTTCGCTTGTTTGCATGGCCCAGTTTCTGGCATGCCTGGTGCCAGTCCATGGACCGGGGCTTAGGGACCCCTGCTCTAAGGGTAGGGATTGGTAATCTTTCACTTATTAAAGGCTGCACTTAATGGACTAGTAAGGTCTGCAGTGAGCTTTGAGAATTGAGCAAAGCAACCTTGCCTTGTTTAAAATGAGTTCTCCCTTTGACTTTAAAACTGTTAAAACCCTCTTTGGGATTGGACTACAGATAGCCCTCAATTTATGACTTGAACTTGTTTAATGACAGTTCAGTTACAACTCAGGAAAAGTGACTTATGACCTGTCCTTGAAGTTACAATTGTCAGCCCCACAATTGTTGTACCATCCCTACAGTCATATGATTGCAATCCAGGCACTTGGCAACCTGTTGTCTTGTGATTTGTGACAACTTCCCGGCTGGTTTCCGACAAACAGATTCACTTAACGATGTCATGATTCGCTTAATAACCATATGACTTGCTTAATGACTGTGGTTTAAAAATGGACCTAAAATTGAGTCTGGTCATGTGATGACTCCATAACTGCTTCGCTTAGCAATAGTAATTCGAGTCTCCATTGTGGTCATGACTTGGGGACTAACTGTACCATATATGTGTGTATCTCTTACAAACCAGAAATGGGGATACATGAAAACTTCACTGGCAGATCTCTTGCAAAGATGTCCAGGAACAAAACTTTAATATACAGGATGTACCAAAAGACAAAGCCTCATAGACAATTTATTATATGAATTACATTAAATGTTCAAATTGGTTACCATTTTCTTCCAAACAGGTCCTTGTTGTTTGAAACATCATCTCTGAAGCCTTCTAAGTACAGTAGCATTTCTCCGGGGTGGGGGTGGGGGGGATAATTAACAAAGCATAGTATGACTGGCGCAAGCGGTTTGGTCCATTCTATATACTCAATAGGCTGCTACCTATCAGGTTGAACCTCCTGAAAGTTTCTACAGCAGAACACAAAGGAGATCTTAGCCTTTCTACCAAGGACTTCTCTCTCCTTTAATAATATTTTGGGTTTCAGTACATGAAATCACACCTAGAGTACTGCATCCAGTTTTGGTCACCACACTATAAAAAGGATGTTGAGACTCTGGAGAAAGTGCAGAGAAGAGCAACCAGGATGATTAGGGGACTGGAGATTAAAACATATGAAGAACAGTTACAGGAACTGGGCATGGCTAGACTAGTGAAGAGGAGGAGACATGATAGCAGTGTTCCAATACTTGAGGGGCTGCCACAGAGAGGAGGGGGTCAAGCTATTTTCCAAAGCACCTGAAGGCCAAACAAGGAATAATGGATGGAAACTGACCAAGGAGAGATTCAACCTAGAAATGAGGAGGAACTTTCTGACAATGAGAACAATCATCCAATGGAACAGCTTGCCTTTGGAAGTTGTGGGAGCTTCATCACTTGAGACTTTCAAGAAAAGATTGGACTGCCATTTGTCAGAAATGGTGTAAGGTCTCCTGCTTGAGCGGGGGGTTGGACTAGATGACCTGTAAGGTCCCTTCCAGCTCTATTACTCTTATCTAATCTCATTGCGGAAGGGATGGTTGGAGAAAGATCATTGGGCTCTTCTACTTGGACATCCTTTGACGGGCAACTGTTTCCCCCACCCCAATTTCTTGATATCCATATATTTATAAATATGGGAGTTAAATGAAAGCCATCCTCTATTTTTTAATTGCATTTATATCCCACCCTAACTCAAGGCAGTGAACACACCTGATACTTTTTCCTCCTCTTCCCTACAACAACAACAATAACCCTGTCAGTAGAGATGGTTCCCAAACCACAGGCACCGTGGGATTACAAACTACTAACTCAAGGTAGTTCATGGTTTTGGCTTAGGGATCTTGTGGAAAAACTACAAAGACATTAAGGGTATGGTGAATTAAAGAAGTTTGGGAGCCTCTGCTCTTTGGGGAGACTGCTTTGTTCAATCAAAGACAATATTCCTTCTATGATCTCCTGGGTCTAGTCAGCCAAGCAGTCATTACTTAAGGATAGAATTTTAAAGGCAATGTCTAGTTTTCACTAGTTTATAACAATCCCATTGTTATGAGTGGTGTTACATGGGAGGTACATGTATGGGGAAACAAAACCCAAATTCCCTCTATTTAGCCTCTCAGCTTACCATATGCTTTAGGGGGCACTGTGGTGCCATTTCAAAGCCAGGAGTCTCTCTCTTTTCATACACATACACACAGAGACACAGTTTCCTATTCTGGTGCTCCCAGGTGTCTTAGAGATGCAATTCCCAGAATCCCTAGCAAACAAGGGGCAGGAAAGTCTGAAAATTCCCATTTGAAATCCCCATTTCAGAATTTCCCAGAGTATCCAGGTTCCAGGCATGCAAGGCTGCTATATGTTAGGCAGGGGACAACTGTTTTGTGAACACCCCAGCATTGTTCGGTAGAAAGTTAGCACCCACCCTTCTCCTAGGAAAATGAAATATTCTAGGAAATATTAAAAAGGCAGAACGTTTCCCCTAAAAGAGAAATGGAAATCTTAAGGGACACAGAAACTCAGCCCCAGCAGATATTTTGGTGCCAGTTTATGTACAAGACAAAAGACTGGGCCATCTTATCTACAAGACAAAAGACCTTCAGCTCCAGGGTGATAAGATTAGCTCTCACTCAAGATCCAAACCAGGACAAAGCCATTAAGCCATAATAGGAATTGCCCAAACTCTCTTCATTACATTACCCAGCAAGATTCAACCAAGCTTGGGACTCAAGGCAACATACAAAATTACCCCTGCATGGCCCCATGGGAGTCTGACAACCAATCAGAATACATTTCTTTTACAGGAACAGGAAGCAAGTTCAAAGCCCAAGAAGGTATAAATCTCTCTCTTACACACACCCATGTGCTCAATTGCCCAAGACCTCAAACCATGTGATCCTGTCCACCATTAAACCATCTTTTCAAACAGTCTCCATGTTTCCACTGTCTTTCTCCCCACTTGGAACTGAACCCAGATGGACATTTCTTCCAACAGTTCCTTGAACTAAATCATTTCATGAGGCTCCACATCCAATGTACACCACATTAGCATATTAATCCTCTATTTATTCCAACAATTCTTTCTTTGGAAGCTACTTCAGACAGACAAAACGCATCTCCAGAAATGTGAGGTTTATCTGGATGATCTTCATGCTGCTTCAGATTGCCAAACTAAAAAGGGTTAAGTAACACAGAAGCAAGCAGCTTCCTATTAGGTCTTAGACTTGGTCTTTTTCTGGGGTTGGGTGGGTATAGCATCTTTAAGTAATAATGGGGAACTCTCCTGTTCAAAAGGCCTAAATCAGATCTGCTGCAGTTGTGGACCCTTCTGACTGTGCTCCAAAGACTACCCCTATCTTAAAGTCTCCCTTGTGGCATCTGTGATATGATCAGCCATCACCATGAACTCAGGAAAAGTCATAGCGACACAGAATAGCACAGACTGATTAGCACAGATTAACTAAAAAGCAAAAATCTTTAGGGTCCTATTGCATTCAGGCTGAAGCCTGAATCGTAGCACCCTTTGTAATCAATTTATTTACATTCCTAATTTCATCTGTTTTTCATTTTAACCAAAAAAACAATATAGTGGAATTTCGAAGGGCAATAGCGGTGATATGTAGGTCCAAAGAAAACAGTCACCTTTGGATAATTAATTCCCAATTATCCTTTCTGCATTATGACCCACATATGTGGATCACAACCTCCTGTCATTTGCTCCCCCCATTTGCCTCAAGTTCAGTTCACATCCTTATACACCATTCTTTCCTTGAAAATTAGATATATATCTTGTCTGGGTTTCTTGCACCACAGCTACTTTATTTACTGTATTTTACTATGTACTTAATGTTGTAGAAGGCACAGTAAACAAAATAAGAACAAGACACGTGCCTGCCAAGACAGCCTGCAATCTAAAATAAATGTACAAATAATGGCAACTGGCTTTGCTCTGCAGAATAAGAATGAAGTGTTTAGCATCCTTCCCCCCACCCAACTGTGCAAAACAAGAGAGTGAAATTGGATGCAATGCACATACAGCATCCATTCAGTCACAAAAAATGAGTTTCCCCATGATAACCCACATTGAATTGAATATTTTCACCTAAGACTACACAAATGGTAGCCAGAAATCTTTGAGCAATGGATCACTTTTCTTGGATGAAATAACTGTGCTGGACAAATTTCACTGGCACACTATTCCTTAGATACTACTAATAATCTAACCTGCTAGGAAAGCTTTGATCAACTGTTTTGGATGGAATATCAAATCCTACTAATATTTTTTTGCCTGCTCCAAAAACAGGAAAAGTTACTGATCCCCAAACTATGTTTCCTGCACAGCTATAACTCTGGAGAGAATTTCTCTTGTCTACCTCCTTTTCTTTTGAGAGTTCTTCTACAGAGAGCAAAGTGAGATGAAAACAGCTACAATTTTTTTCTTTTCTTTTCTTCTCTCTCTCTCTCTCTCCTCTGGTCTTTGATTGGATGAGCTGCAGAAATGAGAAAATTAACCTTTTGTTAATGAAACAGTAGATTATCTGCTTTCTGCTAAAATAAGAAAAAAATAATCCGCACACAACTACATTTATACACACAGACACTCTGAAATGATAGATAGATAGATAGATAGATAGATAGATAGATAGATAGATAGATAGATAGATAGATGAAAAATAGATGATAGAGATGATAGACAGATAGAGACAGACAGAGATAGAGAAGCAGAGAAGAAACAGAGATGGAGATTCTTCCGTTAAATCATGGCACCCCTCATCTTGTCTAATTTCCTGGACACTTGCCCTCTTGTCAGAAAAGAGAAATGCCAACTTCCTTTGCCAGAAATCTGCCCCTCCTCAGAGGCCAGAGTTGAATGCGATGTCACTTAGGTTTTTTCCATTTTTTCCCCTCCACAGCATCAAAGGAAACTGCTATGAGGGAAAAAAATAAAGAAGGGTTTGCAATGCCAGTTAGCTATTTTAGGCCTCATCTGCTGGCCACTTGGAGTGAACATGGCTGAGTAGTTGGCTCAAGAAGGGGAAGGTGAGGACAGCTGTCAGGTGCTGCACTGTGGCATAAAAACGTTGCTCGTGGGGGAGGGAGGCCAGCCATGTGTGGAAGGAGACCTCGCAAGATCAAACCACACATTAATGGACAGATTGGAATTCATGGGGGAAACGGGGGGAGGGATTCACTTGAAACCCCCTGCGGGATGCCTGAAGCACAATCCTTTTTCTCCTAAGTTGCAATAAGAGGTTCTAAGGAGGAATCTGAGACTTGGGAACATCACAGAGTAAATAAGAAGCATCCAGTGAAGAAGGCTGTAGAGAAGAGTACAGCTAAACAGCACAGCATTCATCCAACAATGGCTTTGAAGCCGGAGAGAAGCAGGCTGAAGCTTACAGCTGCATTCCAGCCGGAGGGCTGTGGAGCTTCTCAGAGGCCTGAAATACTCTAAGAACCTCTTACTGCTTGCTAAAGGTCGATAGTATAACTTCCCGTTTTGCTTAAAGGGAATCCTACTTTTCCCAAACTGATGCCCTCCAGATGTGTTGAACTACGACTACCATCATTCCCACTGAGTGGCACAGATTTTAAAGGCTGGTTGAGCTAGCCAGGGAAACAGGAAGCTTAATCCAACTTTTTAATGTCTCATGCTCAGGGATGGCAATACACATGGCCATTCAATATTTTATAAGGCAACACAGACCCGGGATATTATGAAGGTTGTTGGCACATCACCTCCCCATTTAAATTAGTGGAAGCTGAGCTCTCGTGATGTTATTTTAACTCTGCTCTTATACCAGCATTTCTTTCTTTCTTTCTTTTTTTAATGAATTCAATTCAGGATAGGCACCCTGTTACTTACACAACTTAGCTTTCTGACTTTGTTCTTTGTAGTATTTCAAGGAAACCATCCGAATTAATCCTTCTGAAGACCCCAAAATGCAAAGGTTGTACATTAGGCTAATTGAATTAGCATGATTTATGCACACAACCAATCCTGAACACAGATGCCGCCTAAATACAGGGCCAGAGAGCATTCTCTGTGGAGAGCCCAGGTGCTCACCATAAAAGAGAGGCTGCCTCTGGGGACTGAATTCCAAGGGAAGGCAATAGCCAACCGCATCATTTCTTCAGAGGCAAGCTTGGGACTGGAAGCTCCCATCAACCTGGGAGACCCAGAACTGCCCACACAAACAAACACAGCATAATATCAGCTTTCCCTGAGCAGATGCCTTTCAGATGTGTTGGATTAAAATAGTTTCCCCCACCACCCCCTCCTGACTGAGAATTGTGGCACAATGCATCTGGAAGCTACTGAGTTGGGAAAAGCTTTATCCCATGGTGTGTGTGTGCGTGTGTGTGTGTGTTGTGGAAGTTACATAAACAGGCCTAAAAAGGATATCAAAATGGTAGCATGACACATTGGAATGATAGCATCTGCCTATTGTTGTTTAGTTTGATATATGCCACCCAATAATCGATAATTCTGTAATTTGAGATTGGTTAGTGGGTGTCACATGGCCCCGGGCATGTTACACTTTGTCATTTATATAGCATACTTAATGCACACTGTACTTTACCATATTTATCTTGTTCGTCCTCACACTCTGAGAGGAGGCAGGTCATTATCATCCCCACTTTATAGATGGAAAATTGAGGCTGAGAGATAGTAAATTGCCCGAGGCCACCCGGAGTGCTCTTGTCTGACATGGAATTTGAACTGAGGTCTGCCATTCCGTATTAACACTTTATCCTCTGAGCCATACCAGCTTTTTAATATTGTTTGACTGGCTGAATGAAATTTTAGCACACTCTATTGTCATGCAAGTCCTAAACCTATCAGGCCAATCAATACTGAATGCTGGATAATCCTATTAATGAGGATAAAATTCAGCAAATATTTAGGTTTCAGCCCAAAGTGCACTTTTAAAAGTCACCTTTTAAAATTCTTTTGACTGAACAGAGGACACAAACAAGAGCAGAGATTTCTCATAGACAGAGACTGCATCCATATGTTCCAACTTCAGCCTGGCAGGGTGGAAGAAATGCTTATTTAATGAGTCACTGAACAGTTGGGAACACTTTTAAGATCCTGACAGATCACAGAAAGGATCTAGAGCAATCTCTCTGCTTCTACCTAAAAGTAGAGCAAGCAATTTTTAAAAGCTTCTTTTTGTTTTATGATATACACAAGGGACTCCTCACACTTGTGCTAATAAACATTTTCTTGTTCCAATGATGCAAAGTAGCAGCAGAGAATTCTCTTCTTTCACATATTGCCCTTGCATAGACTATAACCCGTCAAGTTAATAAAATTAATCTATTAAGAGAAAGAGGCAATTTTCCTAGCAATCAATTATAATATCTGGTTGTTGAGAAAATGTAATTTCTCGCTCCCCACTCCTCTCTGAGTGCATCCATTTCAGTTTGGATAGCTGCTGGAACCCTGACACTTGAAATGACAAATATGTCTACTGGCTTTGAAATGTTCACTTCCATTCTGTCTGTGACATAATTGGTTACCATTGACACCTTTCCCTCCACTGTATCTTTCTGAGAGTTGTTTTGAGGACTCTGAGACAGCCATCACATGCAGGTGCTAAATCCATTTCCCAATCAGCCCACAAGAGAAGAGGAAAACCATAGCACCAAAAGGTGACGAAATGGCAACCATGCCCAAGGTCCATAAGGATGCCGCCATTGTCCCACTACCACTATCACATGCCATCTACACCTAAAGGGAACCAACAATCTCAAGAAAATGGGATAAACCATCAGCATACTGCCCCAGATCCCAACCAGTGTCACTTCTTTGAATCCTCAGGGCCAGTGGCCATCTTTCCCCATTCATAACTATTTTGAAGCACTGCTCACCAAAGGAAGGGAAGAGCCCACTGAACATGGCAACCCTCATCAGAGAATGTTAGGAGACTGGCTATCATCGACTGATTTAATGTCCTGGAGGAGGAGGAGGAGGTGGAGGAGGAAGGGGAGGAGGAAGAAGAGGAGGAGAAGGAGGAAGCTGTTTTGCCCATGCCAGACATACATTCCACCCCTTCTTCCCCATCCCGTCTCTTCTCAAGCTTCCTCCACTGCTGTCTTGAAGAGTCTCCAGCTACATTTCTGCAGGGGGCAACCTTGCAACATGTCCAAGGACACCTGTGTTATCAGGACTGGTCAGGCAATCGCATGGGAAGACAGGGTTATAAAGAGGTTACTTGAAATGGTTCACTGGTGGGGGGAGGCAGAGATAAAATTAGAGAAAGGTCCCATAACTGCCTGCTGACGGGGGGTGGGATTGCTGGTCTTCGTCCATTTTATTGTCTTCGTAGCTGCTGCAGCTTTGCCATTGCTATATAGGCGGCCTCCCCTTGGTGGATTCAGCAGCCTGTTAAACGTGTGACCTCCCTCAGCAGGCAATACAACATTCCTCAGCCTGACACCCACCAGCCATGCTGGGAGTGTAACTCCTAAATTCTGCAAGTTGCTTTCTCAACCCAACCCACCTAGAGGGTGTGGGTAAGGAGCACTGCCTGAGGGGAGCAGGTGTGTCTTCTTAAGGACAGCAGGAAATCCCCAGGGATTTCTAGGGAGGGTGCTGATATCGGGGGAAGGCATACACTGATTTCATTGTCCATCTATTCCTTTGACAGGTCAATTTTCTCTGGTATTTTACAGGGGCTTTTGGGTGCACCAGAAATTTAATCTCCCAGCTGATTTATTTGCTTACCTGGTCTTTGTTTGAAAGTATTCTGTGGCCTCTTTGACTCCAGCTGCGCAGAAGCAAAGTGTCCCATTTCAGTAGGGCCCCCTGCTACGATTTTGATCTCTCCTCTTCCTGATCTCACTTTGCCGTCTGTCTCTAGGATGGTTGAATGGCAATTTAGACCAATTGTGTGCCTTCCAGAGGTTCCGACTACTGTTTCCCTAATCCCCAGTCAACAGGGCTGATTGGGGATTATGAGGCTTACAGTTCAATATCTCTGGAAAGAACTGAGCTGGGAAATGCTGATGTAAGAAAAAAAGATTACCAGCACATTAGCTGTTTTCTTCTGTATTGTTTCTGTTTCCGACTCTTACCTCAAGAAATGCTGGATAAAATACAGGAACTTCTAATTTAGATAGAGATATTGAGTGGATTCAGGGATCAGGTTAAGCCATGGTTTGTTTTAATCATAGCTTGTTGAACAAGTCACAGTGGCCAGAAAAGAGGGGGTGTCCTCTCACAGAAAAATGCCCTTCGGAGTTTCAAGTGAGACATAAACTGCAACTTCAGAGTAAGGGTGAGGGTGTGGCTGTTGTCATCCAGGGGCCTTTAGGGCAGTGGTGAAATCCAAGTTTTTTTACTACCGATTCTGTGGGCGTGGCTTGGTGGGTGTGGTGTGGCTTGGTGGGCGTGGCTTGGTGGGCGTGGCAGGGGAAGGATACTGCAAAATCTCCATTCCCAGCCCACTCTGAGGCCAGCCAGAAGTGATATTTGCCAGTTCTCCGAACTGCTCAAAATTTCCGCTGCCGGTTCTCCAGAACCTGTCAGAACCTGCTGGATTTCACCCCAGGGGGGCTTTAGGGGGGACTCTAGGAGGGACTGGCTGAGACACATGAAATGTGTTGTTCTAGAAGCACACACATAACTGCCTGCATCACACTCTTCTGGACCCTCTTCAAGTACATCACATTAGAGTTTTCCAATCAGAAGATGACTATGGCATGAGTGGCAGAACTCTCCAATCCAGGAACAGGCACAACTGGTGAATAACAGAAAGCTATTCAATGGCCCTCCTAGACATATCTGCCACTACTCTTCGAGCAAGAGTTGCGAATCCAGGAGGACCCCCATATTGCACACTGGGCCTATCTGGGGCAGTGCAACTTCATCCAGCATCAAAGGTAGAATAATCTTGGAACTGGCAGGCTGCAAAACCAAAAGTCACTCAGTCTCACCAGGGTTCAGCTGAAGCCTGTTTTTCCATATCCAGACCTTCCAACGCATCATTTAATTTGCCAGGGTCAAACACATATAGTTAAGTATTGTCAGCATGCTAATGATCTCACTCCGTGGCAATGGATGAGCTCACCCTGGGGCCTCATATAGATGTTGAATAGGAGTGGGGAGAGCACCAAATCCTGCATCATACCACTTAATAAGAGCTGAGGGCTTGAACTCTCCTTCCCATTGACTGGAATCAACCTTGCAACTTGTCTCTCACCTGGCTCCTCCAGCTCAGACAGGCTCCAACTACAGATCTTCAGCCACAATTCTGCAAAAAAACCCAAACAAACATGACATCACGAGAAGTGACAGGTAGGCAGGCAACCAGGAGGCAAGTGATAGGCAGAAAATAGGTGGTGGCAAGTGGAAAGCATGACCAGTAACAAGTTTTCCAGACAAATTCTACAGACTTGGCAGCAAATTCGCTAGAAGCAGGCAAATGACAGACAACAGGCTGCTTCAAGTGACAGGCAGGGTGCAGCAGGCCAGAGGCTAGGCAGCAGGCAAACACAGGCAAGCCTACCTCCAAATGCTTGACTCTAAACACAGGCCAGTGCCAGGCAAGCAGCAGACAGCAAGCAAGCAGAAGGCAATAGGCAAATGTAGGCAGACCCGATTCAAAATGGCTGCCTCGAAATGCAGGCTGGTGGCAGGCAGCAAGCAGCAAGTGCGGCAAAACAGTGACAAGTTCTCCAGACACGACCAGCGCACTTCTCCAGCCTGGATGAAAGCCAAACAAGTGCTGACCCAAATATTCATACAAGCACACGATATATTCCATACAAATACACTAATACCTAAAATGAGGACAGGCCATTGTGGCTCCTGCTCTCTCCCACAACTCTCTTATTTCTTCAATATGGACAGTCATGCAAATCTCTTAAAAAATAAAGTAAAATAAAATAAGTAGAAGTGGATTACTTGGACTCTTTTCACGGGATTCAGACTGAGTCATAGTACTTTCTCAGTCGCTTTCACACCATGGTATCCTTCTGGAATGGCTTAGGTGATTTGGATTCGGAGGCATGGTTATTTAGTGATTCTCCCCCTTTCTTAATGGCTGGTTCCAGTGACTGTTGGTTGAGGGAAGAGAAGAGATCTAGCCCTAGTCTCCTCTTATGTGGAAAGGCTCAGTTCTTTCACCTCTCCTATTCAACAACTTCAATAAATCTGCTGGGCAATGCCAGCCTGGGCACACAGTATAATCTGTATAATGAGGATACACAATTGTACATCTCTGGCCCAAGACAGAGAAGTAATGCCGTTCAGATGCTTGCCCAGGCCTTGATGGCTGTGAGGATTTGAATAGGGAAGAACCAGCTGTGATATAACCCTACAAGTCTTTGGTTTGTGGGAGGGGATCCCCTGGATCTGTAGACTTGCCATCTTTCACTCTTGATGGGGTAGCACTCCTCTGGATGCTATTGGTGTGTAATTTAGAGATCTTCCTTGAGGAGTCATGGTCAGGAAGGACTTTGCACAAATTCATCTTGCGTGGCAATTGGAGTCATTCCTGCAAAAGGTTGGGATGGGTTGCTCATGTCCAATTGTGCACTAGTCACTTTTCATTTGAACTATTGAAATGAGCTTTATGTTGGGGTACTCTTGGAGTCCCACCCAGAAACTTCCATTGTTCCTGTATGCAGGAGAAGTTGCTCAAGGTTTACCTGCGTTACACTGCTGCTATGTAAATTGCACTGAATTACACTTTCCTGGTGTAATTCAAGGGGCTAATTAAAATTCTGTATGGCACAGGGCCAGGTTATTAGAGAGACCAATTCTCCCTAACAGCATCTACCCATCCCAATGGTTTGGACAGGATGGACTTGCTTCAGCTCCCCTCTGATTAGATGTTCTCATCTGGTAGGATTTAGTAAGAAGATTTAGTAAGAAGATTCTCCCACACTAACACAACCTCTCTCCATCAATATGGAGACTCCCTCCCTTCTTGTCTTCTAGAAGGCCATTAAGACCTCACATACTGGGACATTATCCAGAATCAAACAAACTGCAACATCTTAGCAGGATGGGCAAACTGAGTGATGACTAACCAGAGATTTCATAGAATTACAGACTTGCAAGGGGTGTTAGAGGACTAATCCATGTGTTCTTCTATGAATGGTATTATAAGGTTAGAATTCTAGGTAAGATTAGAAGAGATGTCTTCAAACAGTGGCTGGATGGTCATCTATCAGAAGTGACCTTCCTCATTCCAGGATCCATTAGATCACCTCAGGCAGATGACCATCCAGCCTTTGTTTGAAGACATCTCTTCTAATCTAACCTAGAATTCTAATGTTATACTACCATTCATAGAACACAAATGCCCTAAACCCTGAATGGAGCATTTTTCAGTGAGAACCTAACAGTTTTTTTCCATCTTGCATTCCACGTGGAAGTCTTCTATCTAATTCTAAGGGTAATAAATAATGCTCCAAGAATTCTTGGTTATGATCAAACCATTCTCAAAGATTATTGCATCACAGCAATATTTTCCACTGAATTCTGAATAACACTGTGTGTGTAGGGGCCTCTATTTTGCTGCTCTCTTACCATGTCTGAATTTCCTTACTATGATTACATGAATCATTTTATAATAGCTAAAAGGCTGACCTAGAAATAGCTTACGTGTGGAAAAAGATATTTTTCATAAAAATGCTCCAAACTGGAACAATTTGCCAGGAGAACTCTTTAAATAACTCTGCAAAACTTTTATTCGTTTACAAGTAGCGATGGTGCTGAGGTTGTAGGCCAGGCATATAACACAGGTTTGCTCCTCCCTTTTGCACACTCAACACAGCTCCTGCCCTGCTTCACTTTCCAGCTCATCTCATCTCCAGCAGTTCTTTCTTCCTCTCTTCTTTACCTACAAATCACGCACCTTTCTCTTCCTTCCAGCAATCTTGAGTTTTTCAAATAATTATGCCATACATGACCACAGGAAATTTTGTAGACCATAGTGTAAATGACACATAGAATTCCATGTGAGGGATACAACAGCCCAATTACGCAACTACGTAGGAATCACCTAAAAAGTGGGAAGGTTTTGACCAAACCTGGAATATACTAATTTAGACTTACACAACAATTGAATCTAATTTAAAGAGAATTGCAATCCTGTCCTATGGGGGGGATCTGTGGCCAAGTAACTTGTATATTTGTTCCAGGTGTTATCTTTGAATGAATAACTTCAAAGATTCTGTTTTCTCTTTTTCATTGTTAAACTGGATCTGAAGTGGGCAGAACTTCAAACAGAGGATACCTTCAAATGAAGGACTGCCCTCACCAGCTGTTCAAATAGGGGAATGTCTCCTACACAACAGAACAAGAGGCCCTCCATCCAAAATCCTTTCTAGAGCTAAAATTCCCAGGGATCTGTAGAAGGAACTTGTGGTAGCTAGCTTTAATAAGTACTAATCACTGATCATCAGCTCCTTCCGAAGTAGATTTCCAGGCTTCTATTAATGGATGGTTTATTAAGATTTTAAAATCCAGTTGTGTTATGTCAGTGATTATTATAATGCCAAGGCTTTGTATGGCTATGCATTCCAATTGCAATTTTTAATCGGACTTGAAACTCACAACATCTTCATTCTCATTATATATCTTCTAATTTTAATTCATTTCTCCATGAAGTGGGGGAAACAGACTTCAAGGCATCCTGGTTCCAAATGTTCTGCCCTAGATCTCACTCCTTATTCTGTATTTTTTTCCCCTCCAACTTTCTCAAACTATCTGTGAATGCCATAAGATCATTATCAGCATTACAAGAATAGCGACTCAGAGGTGGAGATAGTTTCACAAAACTAGAGTTGCCTGTAATACAGAGTCACTATTTTTTTTGTCACACAATTGTGTTTTGCCAAACAGATTTTGTAGGCCTTTGTTTCTTAAAGCCTGCCTTGCCTCTTTGATCAGTTCTGAACAGGTGGGGGAAAAAACCTTACATTGATGGGGTTTTTTTTTTAAAAAAAATCTTTATATATTTGAATATAAAAGCAGGAGATAAAAACTACCAACTGTACCATTTTAACATTAAAACCAATGCTATTATTGTGGATTATATGGCAAAACGGTTTTTTTCATCTTTACCCCCATAGATTCCAGAATCATTTGCTATCACTCTTTGACAATAGGCATGTGCTATTAGCATTAAAATCTTTGTGTGTGTGTGTGTGTGTGTGTGTGCCTTTATCCACCCACAAAGAATAAACCTCCCCATCTTTATATTACCTAAACAGCACTATTTCTGCATAACAGGTGATTTGGGAGAACCTAACAGTCTGCAGACATAAAGTGAGAAAAATCTCATTAAGCAGCACTCTGGACTATAACAATTTGTGTCCAACCTTGTAGAGAATTTTATTTTCACCACAAAGCATGGAATGGCTGTCCTTGGCAGTACCAGCAAGGTACTGCTGCAACCTCAATTACGTTACATCACAACAAACTACTAACTGATCATTTTTAATCTTCTCTTACCTTATACACTGTTAGTACTGATTGGTAGTAACTTTACAGGTTTAAGATTGGATTCTCCCACAGCTTTACTTGGAGAGTTTGAGGATTGAGCCAAAGACCAATAACCCTCCCCTCACCCATGTGAATGAACCAGGCCTTGCTAATGTGTGTGTGTGTGTGTGTCTTAACTGGCAGTAACTTTTAAGTAGCAAAACAGATGAAATCTCTTAAGAAGCACAGATGCTGTTTTCTGGCAAATCATCTTTCAGTAGAGAGCAATCTGCAAAAGCAGCACGTGTAGCTGGAGAAATGCTAGATGGTAATAGGAGAGCTAGATGGTAATAAAACCGGGCGGCCCCTAGAAACTGTATTTGGAGTAGATTGTGCTTGGGCATTTTATTTGAAAATCTGGAGTAGGGGTGTTAAACTCAAGGCCCTCAGGCTGAATCCGGCCCGCGAGGTGCTTAGGTCCCTGGCCTGTGGGACTTCCTTGGAAACAGTGAGGGACCGGCCCACGGTGTCTCTGCCAGTGGAAACAGGCTCCCGAGCTCCGTTTCCAGCTGCGACGGCCTCCTGCAACTCTCTGCCAGCGAAAGCTCTGTTTTCGCTGGCAGAGGGTTGCAGGAAGCCGTCGCAGCCGGAAACGGAGCTCGGGAGCCTGTTTTCGCTTGCAGAGCACTCAGGCAGCCACAGGCACCTCTGACATGAGTGACATTGAGCAGGCCATGCCCACTCTGCCCATATCCATCCCCCCCCCCGAGGTCAAACACAACCCTGATGCGGCCCTCAATGAAATCGAGTTTGACACCCCTGTTCTGGAGAAAGAGGATGACAGTGCGAAAGGAGAAGAAATTCTAAATATGGTAGAATCCTTAGGACCACACAATCCAAAACTGTGCAATCAGGTGGCAGTGGAACTCTGCTCATCTTGGTGCAGAGTGGGGTGTGGGAAATGGAGAAAATGGTCTGGCTTTTTAAAATTAAAGCAACTGCTGAATAAGTCAACTAACGAAGCTTGTTTTGGGGTGGGGAGAAATCCCACAGATAGTTCTCCAAAATACCAAGCAAGCACTGCTAAACTAAGGTGATCCAGGATGTTTTGGGATGCCAGGAAGAATGAGAGAACTGCAGAGGATATGACATCAGTTATGCTACCAGTTATGGCTTCACTGTTTTCCCAAATGCATTCCAAGGAAACACCTGGAGCCAAGTAGGAAGTAAAAAATTGTTCAGGTTATTGTTTTTCCGAAAGCCTCAAGGAATGCAAAGATGTACCCCAACTTGGGATCCTCCAGAGGTGACAAATGACCCAACTGTTCTCAACTTTGTGCCCTTCAGATGTGCTCAACTACATTCCATTTTTCCTCAGCAGGCACTGCATTTGGGCATGACAAGAATTGATGTCTATTACAACTAAGGGCACAGGGCTGGGGAAATCAGAGGAATTGTTCAAAATACAAAATGAGCAACGCTGAAAACATTGAATAGCAAACT